AACTGCACTGTTCAAATTTGCCTTGGGGTTTTCAATTATCACCTCCGATTAAATCTTTTAAAAATCGTTCGAAATCATAATTACGATTGGAGTAAAGCGAGGGGTTATTAAAAACAAGCTACTGACCGTCGATGTACGGGAAGATGTCAGTTATGTTAATCGTGTTGAACGTTAATGGGTTCACTAAAATTCCACCCGTGTATTTTTAGCCTTTTTGAAATACTAGAAGAAATAGATCAATTTTTTTTAATGTAGGAAAGGATTTTTAACACAACTGTAAACAACTGGAAGACGTGAACTCTACAATGAATATTGTCGACGAAATCCTTTTTTTTTTCTATAATATATAATGGGCGGTAACATGCCTGGTACATCTTACCATGTCTATGAAGTAATAAATAAGTTAGTCTTACTTTGACGTTCTCGCTTTCCCGCGTACTTTGTACATTTTAATACATATTTTAAAACTAGCGACCCGCCCCGGCTTCGCAAGGGTGCAATGTATTTATTACCTATAAATATAAACCTTCCTCTTGAATTACTCTATCTAGTAAAATAAAACCGCATTAAGATTCGTTGCGTCGTTTTAAAATGGAAAGACTTTGTTTTATACTATGTAGTGATGCACTCTTGCACCTGTCGGGCACTTTTAGAATAAAACGATAAACATAATATGATTCCGTAATTTATTGACACGAATATTTTTCGGGATTATTTTAATAAAACTCGTGTTATTAATATTATGTACAACAATAAGGTCAAAAGAACAAAGTGATATAAGGTAACAAAGTGCGATCGGTACTCAACAATCGTTCTCAGTCAACAATTTTTTATCATTCGTTTATGTTTATAACAGGTATAACATTTTTGGTCATTATTAATGAATAAACAATCAGACATTTTCCCATTGCTAAGTTTTATGATTGGCTTTGGATCTCATTATAATTATTTATTAAATTATATTTACGGTGATTTACATACAGCTTCAGCTTTGTACCTGGTATATCAAATAGATAATAGATAATAGAGATACTAATTAACTAAGTTGTGACCTAATAAAGTCATTGACTCAGAGATATGATATGTAATAACATTATTTACTGAAATTTTAAAAAAGTTACAATTGCTTATATAAAGTGTAATTAGCTACATAAAAACTTTATATCGGGTAATTCTTTTTGTTTAAAAGGCTGTCTCAACAACACAGGTTTTAAATTTATTTAAATTAATGTTATTAATATACAGTATGTTTTTGACTTCGTCTGTATTTTTGTTTCCATTCGATTCATTTTTCTCGACAATTTCTTTGGCTTCGAGCAGAACTAGGTACTGACACATTACTAAGTACAAGCAGGATTCACATCTTGTAATTCTTAATTGCACGATGTGAATTTGCAAGTCCTTACCTACATATTTTTTGAAATATGTATATAAGGACTCCATCAGCTTTCGTCTTGTACAGTTTGACATCACGAATGAAAAAAAAGGTCAATGAAAAAAAAAATTAGAAAACCACCATTGCACGCCGGTTTGTGGGTTCGTCCCACGCCGGATAACTGATAAATTTATAAATAGTTGTTCCGATACTTTTTTTATGAGAAAAGTTGGTAAGCGAGTAGGCTGTTCTTCAGATGTTAAGGGATTACCGCCGCGGAAACATAAAGCGGGCTACGGTGGGTTACCCCAGTCACCACTCAAAACGCCAAAGTAAAAAATTTCCACTTCACGCCGGTCTTTTGTGAGTTCGTGGTACTTCCCCGATGATAATTCAGTACTGTCTGGGTATCTGGATGTACTTTGAGTTCGTAAATTCCGTATTTGTGAAACCTACCGCCACAGAGGTTATACGGAAGATATAAATAGTAAGAAAGATAGAACATTGTAGTTACTTCCCCGATGATAATTCTGTACTGTCTGGGTATCTGGATGTACTTTGAGTTCGTAAATTCCGTATTTGTGTTACGTTTGATGGCAACGATTTATTTATTCGTTTGATGGCAACGATTTATTAATTTATTCTTCTCTTGCATCTATTGTACATTTTAAACTCTTTTAATACTTCATTCTTTTTAATTTTTAAAAAAGCACTTTAGCACAAAGTTTCTTTTTAATTCTTGTCTTAAAAAATATATATTGTATAAATTATGAACTCTTTGTAAACTTTTACGTTCAAATAGAAAACATATGATGTTTTCGTTTCATTCGAATATTTGCTTAGATGTATATGTATCTATTTTTTTCTAATGGTATCTTAAAATAGAGTTCTAGAGACGTTACAGTATTCCGATTAAAGCTGATCCAAGGAAATCTTTCATGTAAACAATGACAAAAAGGAAAACGAGAGAGAGACGATACCGAGCCAATTCGATCTTTCACATGTCACAATTAACGTAGATCACATAGAACGCAGATCAACTCAGATATGCCTTTACATTATTTTATAAAAAACAGAGATTTAACCGCATTTAAATATTGGTTTCATCTTCCGGCGACGATGGTAGAACTGGTGTCTGGGCCAAGTTGTTATACACACCAGTCCTACCAATTTTTTTATGTTTGTGAGTTGTCACTGACAACCTGATGTCCCATGCGGAAGTATGTGTTCAGTTTTAAAACATTAAATTTATCTTTATTTATATATTAGTCTATTTATATATATAGAAGTTATGCGTTGGTTGGTATTAGAATGACTATATTTAATTTTGTAGTACTGCCTACTAGCACCCATAATTCTTTAGTCTTTTTAGGGTTCTGTACCCAAAGGGTAAAACGGGATCTAGTACTAAGACTCTCTCTGTACTAAGTCTGTCTGTCTCCGTCCGTCCGTTCGTTCGTCCGTCCGGGTTGTCTGTTTGTCTGCCTGTCAGTCCTTCCTTCTGTCACCAGGCTGTATCTCATGAACCGCGATAGTTAGACTGTTGAAATTTTCACAGATGATGTATTTCTGTTGCGGCTATAACAACAAATTAAAAACAGAATAAAAAAATATTTAAGTGACTCCCATGCAACAAACATGTGTTTTTTTGCTATTTTTATAGATAATGCTACAGAACCCGTGCGCGAGTACCGACTCGCGCTTGGTAGGTTTTTGTTTCAGTAGCCTCACGAATCGCACATTATAGCTAGTGTGGATTATTAGTATTTCAAATCTGATGTAATTTGAAATGATTGCATGAATTTCATGAAAGATACGATACGCAGTCGATAAACTAATGTCGCGACTTCGACATCTCATCAACTTTGTTTTTATTACATTTATAGCAATGCCTAGCGCCATCTTACGTGCTTCTCTCAAAGTATTTATATAATTATACTCATATAATTGTCTTAAAGGAAGCACATTAAATGATACATTTAATTAGTGTGAATTATAGTGAGTAACAAGACTACAGAGCTATTTGATATTTGGTTTATTATTTCGTTGTTATTATGTTGGTTTTCTATAAATTTTAATTATTACGTCAGCTATACAGCGTGTCGTTACCATCGCGACAATAAATGAACACACGTCTAACGCTACTTGCCAATAATCATAAAAAATATTAACGTTAAACAAAATCCATAATTAACAAAAATATTTTTCAAACAAACTAATTAGGTAAAAAAGAAACAAAATTTGTAACATCCTAAACAACTCGCGCCACAGCGTCGTATTATAAGCCTCTCCTTCTAACAGTATGTTTTGTCTCTTTTAAATTCATTCAACCCATTCATATGCTTTGTGACCTTTACAAATGAACTTTACGTTACGCTTTTATAGGTAAGGCTGTTCTAAAATTCTTTGTTTTGGAAAATTAAATAACTCTGTAAATATTGATGTTTAAAGAATGTAAATTTTTGATACAATTTTAAAAATTTGTCCTCTAAATGTGTATTTATTTATTGTCGCGTTGGTAACGACACGCTGTATACGTATGTTAATATATACGAATATTAATTGCTCCTTTCATTAGTATAAGAGAGACCACGGTAGTTATAATGTGTGTAGTATTCGCAGTAATTCTATAAAATTTTACATGTTATCTTTTATGTTCAAAGCATTTAACTTCTTTCCCCGCATATTTACTGCTTCTGCATATATTAAACAAACAAAAAATTAAACGGATATATAAATTATCAACATGCGCTTTATATGTGAATGTTGACAAATACACCATTTGAAATATTTGAATTGTATTCAGTTCTGACAAAAAAATAAACAAGTATCAATTTAATCAACAATAGGCAATTGATTGTTTTGAGAATGTATTAATAACCTTTTGTATTTTACCTTTATCTTTAATTAAACTTCCAAATGTATGTATTGATTGTTCATCAAAGTGCCTGATTTTGAGATAATGAGATTTAAATTGTTCGGAGTAGAGTTTTCCGTGTCCGCAACTTTTTATTCCTGCTACTCGAGAAATTGGTTTTACCAAAAGGGAAATCCCCTTTTAAATATTATTTATAATTTAATTTTTCTATCTATATAGCTATCATATGGCGATATGCTTAAGGACTTTCAACCGCAACCCTGCGGGTGTTGCAAATGTCCATGGGCATGGTTATCATTTATCATTTAACATGCAGGGGGCAGGGGGAGGGTGGTAAAAGATGAGCCACTCACTGTTTTCTGCTACTGAGGAGGGGTCGCGGGGGAAGAGGAGTGTTGGTATTCCCTACCCTCCGCGGCCGAATCGTTGTGAGAGGCGGAGACCAGGTCCGCCACTGGGAGGCTTGCTGTTTATTAGCACTGGCTCTCCAGGGTCCCATGACCTCCCGTCAGCAAGCTCGAGGGAGTTTTTTGGCCGTGAAAATGGGGCTGAGAGGGTAGGCGCGCTGAATGTTCCAGCGTGGAAGTGTGCGAAAGCGTTCCCGTGACCCTGTCGATATGCGCCTAGGTGGAACAACGTGGGGGTTTTAGTCGGTGCTCGGGTGCGTCATAACACGTCCTTGCCCACGCGAGGGCGGTTATGCGTAGCATATGTGCATTTCCCACTAACACAGAAAGAAGCGCTGCTATGTTCGGGGTGGAATTTGAAGCGCGTTTGCCCGTCTCTCTCCTCGCTACGTGGAATAGATACCTCATGTATGATCAATACAGAAATGTCTCGAGGTCCGTACAGGGCTTAGGATCGCACGAATTCGGTTACGAACAACGTCATGAACAGCGTACCGACAGTTTACTCAGTACTACCTCACAGACACCGAATTCCTCACTTCGCCGCGGGTGCCAAGAGCGTCGGAACCCCCGAGATAGGCATCACACAACACCTAATCGTAGTGACAGTGAATCGCTTCCCGTGATGCCTCTCCTATGGATCACAATCGAGTGCAAAAACTCCTTCTAAGTAACGAAGACCGCCTAGAACTTTGTCTATGGCAGTAATGTTTCAAATTTAAATGTTTATGTGTTATATTGCCGACGCACGCCTCAGTACAGGTTTTTATGTACATACATACATAGTATTTCATTGTAACGAATCTCAGGTTGGTTCCGGGCTGTACCGGTTTAAAATATTTTTTCAACATTATAAATTCTATAGATTCTCTGATTTATTAATCTCTAATCGAGATATACATATATACTGTTATTTTTTCTGTTGTTATTTGTCATTAAAACAATTCAGAAAACGTACTACAAATGACTCTTGTAAAAGTTACTGATTACAGACTTTCAATAAGCATTAAGTACGTATGTAAAATTGCGTTAATCGCGAACTAAGTTACAAGGTTTATTGTTTCTTTTTCGACGTTGCAATCTCATATGCCACGTGGAGAAAGCTAATGATAAAAAAAAACCTAAGCAGTATCATGGGGACTGCCGACAGAAGTGAAAACATACAGCAATATCAAAATTAAAATTGTATAATATTATATTCTACATATTTTATAGGCACTCCGAACGATAATAACAGTATTTTTATCATATCCAAATTATTTTTACGTGTTCCTTTTATAAAAATAGTTCATGGAAAATGTTCGGTGACGATGAAGCGAGTTTCACGTTTTTGTTCACCACGAAGTGCTTAACGCGCCTAAACAAGTTTCCACTTAAAAAATGTAATTTAAGTTCGTCCGGTCGTTCACTATTCGAACAAGATTGCGATGTAAGTCGTTCTAAATTCGATAGTTCTAAGTTTTATTACACATATACATCTGTCCATATTTCTTTCTTAATATCCTGTTCTATGAAGGCGTTCCTAGTTAACTGATGAATGTTTAGACGGATAAGGAAAAATAACATTATTAATTTTATAAATAAATAAATTAATAAAGGGAAATTAGTATTAAATCTGGAAATGAAAGATTTATTGTCTATTTATTGTTTCAAGATTTTGATAAAAAACAGTTTTATAATATTTTATAGCACTGCTTTTGATTTCACAACATTGCCATGACTCAGGCGCCTCTAACTTTTGTTCTTATATTTTTCAAGATATTTATTAAATTTATGCATGTTTTATCCTAAAAATGTGAACATTTTTCAAATGCAGTCTTTTGTTCCTGTAATTCAGTACCACATATTTTTTGAGGTTTGTTTTTTGTTCTTTTTAAATACAAGATATATTAGGTCCTTACTATTTATATCTATACTATTATTTATAACTAATATATATATATATATATATATATTTATATATATATATACTATCTTTTCTATTAATTGGCGTTTGACTCGGAATTCCAAATTCAGTTTTGTTTCAAATGTTTACCTGTTGTGGTTTTGAATTTAGTGATTAATTTATTTTTACGTCATTTTATTTTCCTTTGAGATCGGTCTTTTCACAATATATGAAAACTTAAAATATCGCCTTATTTACAAATACGAGTTCCAGTGTGGCATCAACGCTGCAGAAACTGCTCGAAAGTTTAGTGGCTCGAAAAATACACGGTTAATTCCTGTCCCAAGCGAAAGTTGACTCAGAAAAATGTACTGTGGAGTGTTTGGTGAATCAGTGCTGGTATCACAAGTAACAGCTTTTTAAGACCTGGCCAGAAGCAGTTCTGTATTGTGAGCAATTGCAAGCCATGATGAAAAGAAGCTACCCGATGGCTCCTTCTGGATAACGCTAGACCTCACTCTTCACTACAAACGGTTATATAACAAATTAGGGGATGCGATGTGATGTTCTCCGACACCCACTATACTTACCGTCCAGAACATTCTCCAGCAGATTACTCCAATTCAGATTTTTATTTTTTTATTTGAAATAATTTATTGCAAGAAAAAGAATTTAATTCCAATAGGGTAGACTATCAAATATTTTATTGATTACTAGCAACCCACCTCTCATTCGCACGAGTGCAATGTATTATACGTAATATAAACCTTTCTCTTGAATCACTCTGTCTAGTAGAACAAAAACGCATCAAGATCCTTTGCGTAGTTTTAAAGATCTAAGCATATATAGGGACAGACAGAAAACGGTACTACTTTGTTTTATACTATGTAGTGATTGATCACTGCTACATTTTATTTCAAGAATGGAATCTATGGACTAGCCATAAATTGGCGAAACTGCATAGATAATAATGGTACAAACTTCGGTTGACGAAATAAATAATTTTTTGTAAATGCCAATTTAGGGACATAGGGACATATGTGAGGACTTAATACTTACAGAATTTATTTCGAAGACATTTCACATTATTCAATTTCTATTAACCCATTATAGGATCTAATATTAGTTGGTGATAATTTTAACCTTCTTTTATTATTTTTTACTTTATTTATTATCCATTTTAGGAAAGTGGAATTTATTTTTCCATATGAAGAAATAGAAAATATATCAGCCTTATATCGCTTATTAAAAATAGCTTGAGTACAATTTGGTGCACTACAGCCCGTGTGAGTTACATTCGCGCGCATGTGTGTTGACATCTGACGCCGATGTTGGCACGGCTGCAAATCCCGAGCCCGAAACCGCCAGTATACCGCTGCGCGCCATCCAGTGCTGGCTGTGCGCGAAAACGAAATACTGGCACTCGAAATTTTCAGCACGGCACCGAAAAGAAAAATATTTAAAAAAAAAAAAGAAAATCTGAAGAACATCGCGACTTTCGAAACGTTGCATATTTTTGATATCGTTCGGAAACTAGAACTAGTGGAAAATTGTGCATAATACACATCTATGCAAAATTTCTTGATAGTTTTTTTTTTGAGATAGTTATCGTTTTTCTTTGAAAACTTTGATTCGAGAAGAAGAAGGTAAGAAAATAATTTCATTAATTATAATATTTGTATTGAAAATATTTTTTACAACGAACCTACTACTAGTAGATTTTATTTATGAAATTTCGTTTTGATTAATACGCGGGAAAACAAAAACAAACCTCCATGACCTCATGATACCGTTTCTTTCGCGAAAGCGACAAAAAGAAGTAATCGCTTGTCACTTGGTTTATTTGTAAGCAAAGTTTACTCTTTTATTCCTTCATTTTAATTTATTAATGATGCGTATTAAAATTTGTATAAGTCGGGTAGAAAATATTTTTAAACCTATTTTATTATTTGCATCAATTTATTAAAAGTGTATTTTTCGTTAGTGTGTGAAATTCATTATTTTTAAATTGCGTGCAGTTTTACTCATTCGTGTGCAGTGCACTATATGAGTTACGCGTAGTTATATCTACGGCTTAATTTATTGGAACGGCCGCCCATTTCCTTCCATTGTTATAGTAATAGTACTTTTTTTAATTATTTATATGTTACGCGGACGCATGCGACGTGTATTTTACGTAAAAATATTTATATTACTTTAGTTTGATATTTATTTAATTATCTTATATTTATTTAATAAACTCATAGTACAAGCGTTGCTTAGTTTGGGATTAGAGAACGCTGTGTCATATAAAATCAATATTTATAAAATTAAATCAATAATAAAAATTAGTATTTCATTTAATAAAAAGCGAGTAGGATCGAGGAGGAAATAAAAAAATATTAATAATATGATTTATTTTTCAATTATAAATAACTAAACATATAGTTGCTACACCATCATCATAATATATAAGTATGTTTTTATATAGTATATCTCTATAGTACATCTAAATAATTAAAATAAATTTTATTTTAAACTTATATTGTGTAGTATACAATTTTAAGTTATTTTTTTATTATCAGTGACCTAATTAAGGCTATTAACTAGGACAATAATATTAAAAAAATTCAAAAAGAAAAAGCAAACTTTAAAAAATCGAATTTTTAATACCATATTTGAAAAAAAAAAGTAAGAATTTTAATTGCTTTTTTCGATAGCAATGTTTTTTAACGATTTTACTTAGAGTCTAACGTGGATCGGCCTTAATGCAGGCGCTGGGTTTTGGTTCTATTTAAATTACACCGAAAACAACCGGATTGCATGCCTGGTCGGGCACTCGGCTGCGTCCCATTCCTTGACCTATGCAACGGCTTTTTACTGCGCGGGCGTTCATGATCCTCCCATTCGGATACTTTATAGAATTTCAATCAACGGTGTTAAACACCATTCAAATCTCGGCCATTTATTTTCCACTAGCGACCCGCCCCGGCTTCGTGCTGGTGCAATTATACGTATAAACCTTCCTCTTGAATCACCACTATCTAGCAAAAAAACAAAAAGCATTAAGATCCGTTGCGTACTTTTCAAGATCTAAGCATACAGGACAGGCAGACAGCGGGACGACTTTGTTTTATACTATGTATTGCTTTTATTGAGTTATGCTTTAATGTGGTTGTTTTATCCCAAAATATTTCACTACAGTCCATAACTTCTAACTTTACTAACAAGTTACTGGACTTAACGCTGGTTTCAAATACCTATACCAATAACTGTCACGTCTGTTTTCAATTCAATATATTTCACGTTTAAGGGTGATTAATCTTTTTAAACTGTGTTTTCCTAAGACTATCATATCAGAACACTCAATATGCTCACTTATATTATAATAAAATTGGTATTTAATAATGACAATCAATACCTAGAAAATTGTATCAAATTTAATTAGTAGGACTGACTAAAAGAATATAACTTTTCCTGTTTGTCTGGTATAATATGGAAGAAAATTTAGGACTGTTATCAGTTAAAATACAGTATAAAAAATACGCAAGTAATATTTAATTTTTATTATTATTAATTATATTCTGGTTAAAATTTATATTCATTGGGTACTTTTGAACTTTGGAAATTTTTTTTATGTGAAAAAGTTGCCAAGCGAGCAGACGGTTCACCTAATGTTAAGTGAATACCGCTGCCCATGGACATCTACTACACCAGAGGGTTGCAGATGCGTTGACAACCTTTTGATAATTGGATTCCGGCCACTACACTCACCAAACGAAACGCGAAAGTATTATACTTCCACTTTACGCCGGTTTTCTGTGAGGTCGTGGTACTTACCCGGAAAAGCCTGCCCATTCGTGCAACAGCTGAGGCAGCTGCATGGCCCTAATACCGTGAATAATTTATGATTGATGTAATCATTAGCAATTATTACATTTTCTAAATTTAAATGGCAGGTATACGGTTCGTTTAATCATCACCGCGGACTAGCGGCTTCTAGTGATAACAATACATTTTTTTTGGAGTTTATTGGAGTTTATGGCCCGGTATCAAGGACCTTTAGGCCAATAACAATACATTCGTTCAATCATTAAACAGATTAAATAAAAATACAATAATCCTAGCAAAAAACGTGATTAATTTTTGTCGATATTTGCCTCAAAACACTTAATGTTATTATTGGTATAAAAAACAACAGCGTCAACTTCTCTTTCTTGTCTAAAAATAAATTGCAAATTTTTTCATCACCTAAGGACCATTAAAAACTCATCAGTAGGCATATTACGTAATTTCGCAATAAAAAAAAAATCTGTAGGAAACTAAAAGTTAGGACCGTAAAAAATTTTGAATACAGAGCAGCAAAAAAAAATTCATAATCGTTAGTAAAGTCAAATTGCGAAACGCCGATGATGATTATAAAACTGCTAAACAACTTATAATTTTTTTGCACAAATTTACTTCATAGGTATACAGAAATACAATTAGATTGATCGATAAAACAGAGATATATTCTTTAATAGAGATTATAACAAATTTACGAGGTAAAAACTTTTATTATAAAATAAAATAAAGCAGTTGCATTGAAAATAGATGACAAATGCGTTTAAAATAAATACCGGAGCCTTGAAATATTACCAGGAATATGACTTAAAATGCGTCACTTTACTTTTCGATGATGAGTCCACAGTGCATAAAATAGTGACGCATTAATCTATATGCCGTTTGAGTTTAAGAGAATATGCGATACGAATAAAATGATAGTCGTATAAAGCAATTGATCTTTATAGTATTGTTAACGTTATTACGGTTTGTTTAGAGTGTTTCTACGCCGTAAAAAGAATACAAAAATGAGCAAAAACATATTTTAACATTGATTTTACGGAGATTGTGAAGATAAGTATTACTGTTTCAATTTATAACCGCCCGTCGACATGCACAACATTGGGGTTGCAGTTATGAACAGTCAGGAATAGCACTAAAAGCAGGCTCCGATTACCTCACGCATCAATGTAATACTAATATAAGTAAAATACTGTACTTGTATAAGCTGGTCTTCTTCTGTATACCCTTGGTATTTTTTATAATTCAAGTGGTTCACGCAAATGTTTAGAAGAGTTGAAGCGATTTTCTTAAGCGGCTTTTTCGCCATCTCACACCATAGGATCATCATAAACTGTTGTTCAACTTTGTGCGCTTTGAGCTGCTACATCTATGCTGAAATCCTGTATTTATGCAGCATGTATTGCGGGCTAAAAATAGCTGGGTAAGCACGCTGGGTTGTATATGCACCGTCTTAGGACTACGGTCGTTTGCGGTCATCGACAGTTCAAGCTCAGGAGCTCGAAGGCCGCGGGTCCTATGTTTTCATTGCCCCAGTTTATTCACGGTTGTTCAGTAAGTTCACGTTAATTATGTTATCGTGCTAAATTAACGAAGCGTTTCCACCTGGGTGTATCATTAAAATGTACTTTGGTGTTATTTGCGTGCGTATTGGTGCAAAAAACGGCACAGCGATATCAAGTCGTGTTAGTAAAGTACATTTAAACGACAGTAATTTCTATATTGTCAGTGTCATTATTGATTTTATTATAAAACTTTTCAAAATGTTGCGAAACCTATATATATCTATATATATATATATATATATATATATATATATATATAATTCTACTGTTAGTGTGTATGTCACTGAACTCCTCCTAAAGGTTGGACCGATTTTAATGAAATTTTTTTGTGTGTCTAGATCGATTCGAGAATGGTTTAGATTCACAATTTGGTCCACTACAAACTATTTTTTTTCTAACGATTTGCGTACAGGACAATGTCTGTCGGGTCCGCCAGTATAGTAATACATTTCTTGTAAAGATGCAAGCATAATGTCTAAGCTGCTGTTATCTATTTTGCAACTTCGAAGACGAAAGGAATGATGTTATAGAATACTGAGTCACACGGATTCGTTATTCACAGCCGTTACAGAGTCGACGGCCATCGGGGTCCCGGTCCGAACCGCAACCTCGATGGTCCTTAGATGACATAGCATAGTTAAACGCACGCATAAGCAAGTGCACGGCCCTACCCACAGCGGAGGGCCCAAACTCGTGGGTTCTAGCTAGCCCACCGGTTCTGCGTCAGATGCAGCTTTAATAGTCTCGGGACTGAAAGCAAAAACATCAGTTAATACAAGATACAAGAGGATTCGTTATTCCTTTTGCATTGCAATACCCAAATGTTAAAGTATAAATTCAAATATATTATTTATTGTCTTGTTTAAATCAAAAATAAATTATTTTAAAATCCTTGAACTTTATTCGCAACACAGAAAACTAAACGGAGTTTTCGACTTGGCAAAAAAAAAACTGCAAACTAAGTAACAATATAATACGCTATGTAATGTTTATGGTAATCGCATACATTTTCTGCTACCTACATTTGGCCATTAATTAAATTTTGAAACTTGTTTTACATTTTATTTAAGCGTTATCGGAGCCTAAATTAACATCACACGTAATTTGTTTAAATAGGTTAAAGATAAAATTTCGCAATGACCTGATTATACGTAGTTGATAACTAGTAAATCTCAAACACGCTAATTGCATTGTGGCATTCTGGACTTTATCACGACAAAAAAGCATATGATATTTACCAAAAGGCAAATAGCAATGAC